TGTGAGCGCTCATTACCATAATTCCTAATTATGGCTGTCTAGGAGCCCAGCAAGAGGAAGAATAATTATGTTTAACAGGCAGAGTGATAAAGAGAAAAGATTAATAAAATTCCCCACCTTCCCTTTCAGATCACAGCAAGATCTTTCACGTTTCTTCTGCCGCTCACAAGCCTGCGGCTGTTGGAGAAAATTTATACCCCAAAGGAGAGGGCTTGGTTCCAGCAGTAACAGGAACCCCCACAGCTGTGCTAGGCAGGTTTCCCAAACTCCTCTTGAAAGGACTCTTGAATGCAAACTTCACGGCAGAGGATAAAATGATGCAGGGGAGGGAATCATTTTCTCTTCTGCCATGAAATTTGCATCTCTCTCTCTCTGAAATGAACCATTTGGTCTCTTTAATCTAAGGAAGAAAAAGGGCTGAGGCAGCAAGTGCCAAGGGACAAGGGAAACCTCAGCAGCATCTGGATACTTTCCAGTTTTTTAAAGTGTGCAGGGGAAATGGGATTTTACTCAAAGCTTTGATCAACAATATTGGTAAAACGGGGAAAGTGAAGCATGCAGGCTGCTGGCTACTGAAGTCGGCAACCAGCGATATGGCTCACGAGCTTAGGTAATCAACGTTGGCAATGGCATCTGATCTTCACTGGGTGCAACCTCCCTTTGTTCCTCTGATTCTTGAGCTAGGCCAGCTGAGCACTTTGAGGTTCGCTAAAAGCAGGAGCAGCTCCAGAGAGGACTGGGCATCAGGCATTTCCATGGAGGTGCCTTACCTGAGGGCATCCAAAGTGCTGAAGCATACTTGCACAAAGCATTCTTTTTCAGGGGTTGGATAGCTGGCCCCTGAAAGCTACACAGGGCTCCATTGCTTTCAGAAAGCTATTTTCTTAACACAAAGGGCCAATTTACATGTGGCTGCAGTGACCATGGCTATTTCATAGAAATATGAGATTTGGTTGCCAGAAACAAGCGAGAAGCATACAAACACACACCCACAACAAGTGGGAACTGCTTCTTTGTTGTCTAATTCACACCACTCTTGAAAGATTAAAAAAAATGCAGGTGTGGCAAATGAGATGGCAGCATCCCTTGCTAGGTTTGCCCATCTCTGGGGACCAGATGGCATCCACAAAGGAGCTGCATTGTACACTTGATTGATATGTTTCCCTTGCATTTAGGGATAGGTCTGAGAATTTTGATTTTACTCTGTTTCTCATTTTTTCAATCTTAAATCCAGTTCTCCACATTTCCCTGTGAGTTTGTGGTTTTTTAAAAAGTGCATATAAAAGCTTGATGGCCCATTAGTTGCTTTTGGAGCATCTCTGGCACCACATACAATTCCATTACCCCATCACAAACAGATTAAAAAAATGTCCTCAAAGCATGCCCAAGGAGCAACCCCATGTTGCAAAAAGCAGCTCAGTGGCCTATCAGAACTCCTGTTGCTGAAAAAAGAGCAAGGCCACTGCCATTTTAAGAGGATCCAAGGTGGTAGAGTGATGGCAGCATTGTCAAACTGGGGAAGTGACATCTCTGCTGATGAGCTGGTGTCCCTTCTTATTCTGGAAAGTTTGTTGTGGGGAGGGGAAGGTCAAACCCATTAATCTATTTTCTCTAAGAGCATCCATATTCTAGATAGGGTATTGCATGGATACAGGAAGTTATGACAGGAATTGATAGCTATTTTGTTTCCAAGAAAAGACTGTGTAGGGCATGGAAGGAGAGGGGAATAGCTGAGGAGAAGACAAAAGGTGGATCATTTGTTTCCTTTTCACACAAAAGAAGTCAAAGTAATAGTTTTATCTGCTGGAGTGCTCACCTCAGAGTTTTCCTGGAGCGTTACAAATTAACACTTTGTTTATAAACTGTTTCAGAATAAATGCCAGCTGATGATGCCATCCATCTATTAGATTTCACTTTGCAGGCTGTCAGACTTATTTTGTTTCTCCCTCAGTAGAGATTTTGGGTTTCCTGCTAAGAACATTTTGGGGGACAGCTCAGCAGGTCCAAGGGCAGCCATATCATTCTAGCACATGTCAACCCAGATCTGCCCACAAATGATGCAGCCACAGAAACTCCCTGGAGTGTCTGCTGGGCTAATTGCTTTGTGACAAATGTGTCCTCTACTTCCCTGGTCTTAACTACTCCCTCTCCTACCCTTCCCCTCCCCCCCGCCAAAAAAAATCCCTGTCCCTGTTCTGTCCTGTTTTTGTGACATTCTCTTTAGTGCTGTTTTGCTCAGCTATCTGCAGATTAAAAAAAATTACTTTCCAATTTCTCTGCTTCAGTTGGCTTTCTGGACAAAGGCATTGCAATGGACATGGATCTGCCATCATCCAGCAACAAAACGATTTGGAGATTTTTAAGATGCCTGAGGTAGCAATCCTCTGTACCCATGTTGTGGATATTACAGGAAAATAGATTGATGTTATGATCCCATAAGCCTCTGCTCTAGCACTTAATGCATCAGTTAATTAAGTTTAAAATGAGCTTTGTTGCCGAAATATCTTGCTTTTCAATCTTTGCTTTGTCATTTATGATCTCATGGAAATATTGAAAAAGGATGGAAATATGAGTTACATTTTCTATTGCTGACAAATATGATTGGTTGGGATATAGGCTGAACCATTGTTACTCAGCCCCATTCAGCTACCTGCTTCCTATTGCTGCAAGGTCTTCCAATCAGTACTGGTCAACATGGTAAGATATTTGTTCACCTGCAGTTCATCTGCTTTATTGCTGTTTCTAAAAGAGTAAAGAAGGGGCTCAACAGGAAGGAATCTTGGTTAAGCTGGTATGGCTAATATTGCCTGTTGACAAGATGAACATGCAATGGAAATATATTTGAAGCTGCAGAGCAGTGATATTGAGGGTTCACAGCTAGGGAACACTCTCATGTAGATGGCACACACAGGACTTCCGTTACTCAAGAGTGATGAGTTGAGACATTTCTTAAATGAGAGGTTGTTGCTGATTTATATGAATTTGAGGGCGTAAATATTAGACAGTAATTGTACAGAGTTAAGTTCCTTCCCAGCTTCTCTCTCCATTGGGACAGCTTAGATACATATTTTTGGGGGGAAGGCACTTCAATGAAAGCTTAGCTTCATTTCCTTAGAATTCTCAGAAAACTCTGGAAATACGTTTGGGCTCACTACAATTACCACTATTGTGTTTTGTGTATGTTTGATGAGATCACACGAGATCTCATTATTCTGGAAATATTGTTAGATCTTTTAAAGTAACGTTTTTTAAAAAATAATAATAATGCTCTTTCAAGTAACTTGATTCATATGTGCATACAATACCTGTCAGGACACACAGGAAATACAGCTGTACGTTCTGTATGGTTACTTCTTACATTCTTTTTAACAGAAGCAGTCCTATGTTTCCTTAGTGAGTGGGGTGTGGGAACTTATCTGCAAGAAGCATACCATGACATTATTCCATAGAAGAAATCCCAAAGAGACTTGCCTGCATGTAAATAGATAGGATTTGCTTCCACATACATATCAGATTGAGCTATCAGTCTGTCATTCTCCTTTATTTCTTCTGTCATTTCTGAAATCCTATTGTGACTGGATATGCTGACTTTAGAAGCTGCCTGAGAAAAGCAAAAGGCAGCGGTTTGGTGCCGATATTCAGTTTGAGATGGTTATTTGAATGCAAGAGGTTACAATTATTGATAGGAAGTTGTTTCTGTAAATTATATTATCTGAATAAATAAATCAGAGGAAGGGGAAAGAGTTAAATTGACTGTGGGGGGAGGGGGGCAAGGACATCTGGATACTTTGAAAAAATAATGCTCCAAGTTATACTGGCCATCACAGAAGTGATTCCTGGTCTCATGGACTTCTGTCTGTGCCCCCAGAGTCAGACACTGGTAATTTACAAAAGACAGAAATTTTAAAAAATAATTATGTTGTGCAGTCCAACTGCCATCTTCCTAACCACTGACCATGCTGACAGGGGCTGATGGGAGTTGTAGTCAAAAACGTGTGTAGTACAGTAGGCTGCGAAAGCCTAATGTAGATGGTAGACTTGATCTGAGTCCCACAGTACTTACTTACATCTTGCTGATAGCAGTCGCCCTGCAACAGCAAATACCATCATCCTTTATTTGATTAACTGGTTTGTTGAAGTCCTTTAAAGATTCCTCCAGCCAAACAATACCTGCAGACCCCATGAGCTGGGGGCCGTGCATAAATGAGTTAGCCATTTCTAATCAAATGCTCTAACCAAGGGGGGTGGGGGGTGTAGAGAGGACGACATGAGTCTTTCCTACAGAACTGGCCACCCTCTGGGAAGGGGGTCTTGCAGCTAACATGGGAAAGACCCACTGAGCCTATGCAGTTGGATAACATCGGTGATCTCCCAGCCACATGGCATCCATTTCTGGATAAGTGGCTCTCAGGCTGCTGGGAGGGTGTTTAAAGGGCACCTGGGTCTCCATGGCAACAGGGAGATGGCTGAAGAATGGCAGCTAAATGCAGCTGCCCCTCATTTAATATCGACTTCAGCACTGACAGAACAGATAATGGGCAATAACACACCATTATGCTGCAGGGAAATGAAATGCTTCAGCAGGCGCCTGTCATGCTGTGAGGATTTGTTACTGTTGCACCATCACAGAGTTCTGTCTCTCTCAAGCGCACACCCCTTTTTGTTTACTGCACTCCATCTTTTCTCCATTTTCTATGCGTCTCTGTTTTTCGACCCGAGAGTTGCCAGGTTTCCTCCCCTCCCCTTCATTTCTGCTATACCTTTCTTGCCTGCTCTCTTCCCCCTTCCCCTAGCCCTGTCTTGCCTTGCCTGAAGTAGCATTTGGGAAAGTAGTCAAAACTTGCCCTGTCATCTGATGCTCAACAACTTACCTTTGTGTCTTCCTGACCATCCCTTAGGATCTCTACCATTGTTTGCTCTGAACAAGTCACTCTGGCAGGTGCCTTTCAGGTTTTGAGCCACAAGATTAAGCATGGGACTCAGTTTCCCTTGCATGGGAAGGGATGTAGCTCAGTGGTAGGGCGTCTGCTTTGCATGCAGAAGGTCCCGGGTTCAACCCCTGGCATCTGCAGGTGAAGCTGGGAGAGACTCCTGCCTGGAACCCTGGAGAGCTGCTGCTAGCCATGAGCTAGATGGACCACATAGTCTTACTCAGTATACAGATGCTTCCTGTGTGCATATCGGTACCCCAGGATGGTAGTTCCTTTGAGCAGCTTGGCTTTCCATCCAGGGAAGAAGTATGAATGGCATGTACAAGGCAACTCCTCCCCAAGTCTAGAATCCCATCTGGATGGTTTGGGCATGTGCACATTGGCCAGAAATGTAAAAATGACAACAAGAAGAGCGATGTTTATTATTTTTGTGGTTTTTTTGTTTGTTTATGGCATTCTTTATTACCCTGCTGTTCAGTTTGAAGACTTTCAGAGTGGCTTATGGCTGAAACGTACAAATACTGAAAATCAGGTGCATTTTAAAAGGAGCAGAAGCCAGGTCTCTGGGTGAACAAGAGGGTTTTCACCTGTCTTCACAAACAGAGCAAACAAGGCAAGGAAGATAGGAATAAGGCGGATCAGTCACTACTAGCCATGAATGGCTGTGCTATGCTATGCTGGTATTCTTCTAAAATACCATTTGCTGGAAACTGTAGGAGGGGAGGGTGCTCTTGTGCTCAGGTCCTACTCGCAGGTTTCCTTCAGGCACCTTGTTGGCCACTGTGAGTGCAGGATGCTAGGCTAACTGGGCCATTGGCTTATGTTCTTAGTCACAGCACCTGGCCTTGCCATGGACATGTGAATTTCCCCACTGAGAATGGCTTTGGGGAGAGGATGCTTAGAGGTTAATCCAACCTCCTGGCCAGCAGCGATGGGGATTGATAGAACATTGTAACCACCATCACTTTCACAGCCTTGCTGCTTGCACTAGCCAAGGCAGAAGAGCAGGCAGAGAAGCATACCTGTTTTCTGAGTTGCCAGGCTGGTGTAACGAAGAGGCCCAAATCAGTCCTATGACTGTCATATGCTGGTAGCAGGGTTGGTGTTGGATTCTGTGCTGCTTCTGGCCCAAAACACCATATTTGGGGCAGGGTCGGAGTTCCACTGGCTACCATTGGCTATGCCACTGGTGGTAGGATCTGCTTGCCTGCTGTTTGGACAGACACTTTGGGGCAGTCCTTGCAGTTGTGGCTTCCTCACTGACACCTGAGTTCCCCAATGACAGAGGCTGGCAGAGCCAGGCAGCACTCATCCGAACACCCTCTGATCAAGCAGATTGAGGGGTAGGATTGTTCTGGCCACCATCATCTAACATAGTTGCGGAGGACATTGGGAAATAGTGCTATTGATCCAGAGCTATGTTCAGGGTGGAAATTTGCATTATTGTGTTGGTGGGGTGGTTGAGACAATGTTTAGGTTTTCCAACCATGTTGAGGGGAGGGCCGTTATGTGGCTTCGTGGAAGCAGCACCCTGCAGAGATTAGAAGTGGTCATTCCTTTGGAGAGGCCCATGTGGCCCTCGCCAGCCCAGGTGGTTGATGCTTTTAAACATTATCCCAACCCCATGTGCTCACAAAGAAATGAATAAATCCACAGTCTTGCTCATTTTCTTGCAAGCAGTCTGATCCCAGGAGCTGTTGCAACATCCCACTTCCATTGCCCTGAAACTTGCAGCAGGAAATGGCATTGTGGGCTCCCATCTCTGTGCAAGAGGAAAAAGGCTTATTCATTTAAAACAGGGGATAAAAGAAAGAAAAACACTCCGTTTTTTGGGTTTTTTTAAAGAATACCATCAGGAGCAGGCTATGATTAATGCACATAATTGAAGCAAATTGCAGCTAACTGCAAAAAAACCCCATCTCCCAGCTGTTGACAGAAGGAAATTGCTGACAGCCTTTTCCCATGGAGTGAAAGCTGGGAATGGAAAGAAAGGAGCTTTTTTCCCTAACACAAACATACACGACTGCTGTGTGCACATACACATTGGGAAAATGACACCATAATGGCTGTGAAATATGCCACACAGCATAGACACACATGCTGCTTGGCTGGTGCTATTGCGATTTCATATTTATTCAGAAGCTGGCACTACATGGAATGTGATTTGCAGTAGTGGCAGTGAAGCCCCACCCATTTCTGGTGGCAATGGCACCAAAGTGTCCCTGCCTCCCCCCGTCCCTCTGGCAATGGTGGCTTCACACCGCCTCCCTTACCTTGAGGAGTCTCAATACAGCAGTGGCAAAGAAGCCGGTCTAGTAAACAAGTACTACTGCTGGTGGCTGCTATTTTAATTAGAATACAGGGACATCTAATAAAACTGAACATTGGAAGAGTCAGGGCAGGCAAATGAAGAGTCAGGGCACTTTTCGCAGAGTGCATAGCTAACTTGTGGAATTTGCTTGCACAAGAGGCTTTCAAAAGAGGACTAGACTAGACAAATTTATGCGGCTACTAGCCACAGTAGCTATGTTATCCTTCTGCGAAAGCTTTTAAGCAGAGGTTGGATGGCTATCTGTCATGGATGCTTTAGTTGAGATTCCTGCATTGCAGGGGATTGGACTCAATGGCCTTTGGAGGTCCCTTCCAACTCTACAGTTCTGTGATTCTATGATCCTGTCGCTGTTGGAGGCAGTGTACTTCTAAATAAATACGAGTTGCTGGGGATTATAGATGGGTAGAGTGCTGAGAACTCAGGTTCTTCCTAGGAAAATAAGTTTGTCTGTGATGGAGAAATGTGGAAGGAGAGATAGTTGGGCGGTTAGTTTCAGATGTTGGTGTTGTACTGGACATCCAGTCCCATAGATTTTTGGATGGCTTTTTCTGAAGCCACTGTAACCAGGTTCCTACCTAACAGTAAGGAACGCTGATTCTGGAAAACAGAGCAGCTACCAGTTTCAGGAAATGCAGAATATGTCTATCTCTTTCTCCGAAGATTTAATTGTCAATATCAGAAGCATATTTATAGCCGAGAGAGATAATAAGGAAGGAGCAATAATTAAAGGGCAATTCCTCTCTTTGAAGCTGTTTTTGGGTGATTTGAAACTGCTTATATATAGTGTACGTGTTGTGGGAGGGGGAGGGAATAGCTGTTTTTTTGCTGGCCCTCATTTCCTATTCCCCCTCCATCCATGCTTGTGTTTCATTGTAAACACATCAATATGGAGCAGTCAGCAAACAAACACTCCTTTATCAGAGATATGTGTGGATCGCAGTGGATGCTAAACAGCCTGGGAAAGCAGAACTGACAGCAAAGAAAATAACTGCTAAAACCCACACGTTTAGTTTGAGGATTAATTTTGTAGCGACAGTAACTCACCGTTACAAAAGATGCAGCACAGGGAATGGAAGGGAACTGTGGCTACTGATATCTGAAGAGCAAAAAGGGTACAGGAAATAATAAACAAGGTGCTAGCTTATAGGGAAGAGTGTATGGCTTCAGTTCTTGTGGGAACTTGAAGGTTTGCAAGACCCTGGCTAAAGGAGAAAAAAATGTGTGTGACGGGGTTGGGGTGGGGGGAGAGGACAAAACAAAAGAGGAAATTATAGAGTCACTGTGGGGGGAGTTTTGTCCTGCATATCTGAATCTTCCCAAAGAGAAACAAGTCTATATTTCTCATTTGGATTTGTTTTAAAATTCAGACTTGGTAGGCAGATGGAATGGACTTTAGAATGGGTATTTGCTTCCAGCTGTGCTGGCCATGGTTGTGGGACTAACCTGAAATATGAACCGGAGTGTGTAGTGAGGAAGTTGGTTTTTTATAACGCATGCACAGGGCTTTTGTTGTGCTTCCCAGGCATTTTACTCCAGACTCTGTTCACATGCAAGCGACTCTGCAAGCGACATGCAAGCGACAAAATTAGCGACTCTGTTCAGGTGTAATGAAGGGGAACATGAGTAGAAAAGATCTGCAGGGCTGCTGTGGGCTTTAGCCCTGCTCCGTTGCCTTACATTTCATCCTGGCTTTCCTATCTTCTAGTGTGTCTTCTGCAGCAGGGAACCTTTTCTGCTCAAGAACTCAGATCCTTCCGGGGATCTTCAAAATCTGGGTTTTATGAATTGACTGGATTTCAACCAGTGCTTCAACAAAATATCCAGGAGGAAAAGGCTATGGGCTTTATCATTTATAAATACTTTAATGTGTTATGTAGGAAAATGTCATTTAACTGGACATCTCTTGGGGCACATTTGTTGTTTGGGATAAATGTTGTGCAGATGTTGGAGAATGTTGTTATGATATGTGCACACTGTGCAAGCAAATCTTTGAGGAATTTAAATGTTCCCAGAACAGCGATTGGCCTTTATGAAATAAAGATAAGGGAAACTATATTGGTAGTTTAATGGAATGCAAACTTTTAAAAATAGAATGCCCCTTTTGGTTCTCTCTCTCTCTTTTTCATTTTCACACGGTCGGTATGGGTGGCGTTCTCAGTTTCCATTATAACCATGAAGTCTAGAAACTTCTTTTTAAAGCTGTAATACTCAGAATCCCAATAAATGCCCAAACGTATAGCCTAGAAGTGGAGTTGTGGTGTACTATGTGTACTTTTAGAGGGACCATATTCTGCCTTCACTCTGGTAAATTATTTTAACATACATGGAATAGTTCCTAAATTGTGCCCTGAGATCAGAATAATCTCTGCCAGTCCAAAGAAAGCTGGTGACTCTATTTGTTTTTCCTCTTTGACATCTAGCCGTATCAACTGGGCAGAGTTTTAATAATGTTCTCTCCATCCTGCGAAGTGTCTATTGAATCAATAGAGATAGTAGGCTTATAGTGATAAATCATATCAAGATATGAAAATAATTTTATTCGTGTTATGGATTGCCTCACTTTGGTTGAGCCAGCAGGATTCCTATGATCTATCACCTCAAATCATCCGTGGCATATTATGGCTGTGACAAAGGAGACAAGCTCAGGAATATCCCTTTCGCAAAGCCTGCGGGATAAAATAAATAATGTCATTATGCTATATATGCAAACAGAATATTCGGACTTCATAGCCACAAATAAGAATGTAGTCATTTTGTCATTTTTCCGTGTTGACAGATGGGTAAAATGACAATGCAAGTGTGATAAAA